GTTTCCAGATGGATATGCAGAGCAAATCAGGTCAGGTTAGTCCTCTCCAGCATGCAGTTCTCCAAAATCCTGCAAATTACCTTATTTTATAACTTAGGCATGTTGAAGCAGAAACACATCTCAAAGGAGCTGGACGCCTGACCTCGATGGCTGGAACTGAGGAACTCTGAGCTCAATCTGAATACATCAAATTGGTAAAGGCACTAAGAAAGTGCGTTCATGATCAGTGCTATTTCAACTGTGCTAGTGGGAGCTAAAACCAGGAAGCAGGATCCTTCCCAGAACCAAAGAAGTTAGCATAGGAGCCTCCTGACATCATAGGAGCTATGTGGTTCCCCATAATCCTTTGTTTGAGATATAGACATATCCGACCTTTTGGAGTTTAACAAAAATAACTGTGTGGGATATGAATTTGACCTCACCTTCTTACATTTTGGTTTTGTAGTTCTTTTCTGGAAGGCTGTAGTCCCAAATTGACCAGTGTATTTCATGTGTCTGGATTCAGGAACTGGATTCTGGTTTAAAAGAACAGAAAGTAGGAGCAACAGATCAAGCCATATTGTTGCAGGACTTTACTGTTGCATACTTGAAAATGCTTATTTCTTGGTTCTCCCTTTATATTTCTCTTCCCTTTCATGTGATAGCAAACTCACAGCTGAGGTTTGAAATTTAATGTTTTACTCTCGTTAGATATAACAAGACCAAAATAGGGATTATATTGCAGATTAAATTAACTCTCCAGTCTTAATTGGCATTAAGATTATTTCTGTCACAGTTTTCAAGCTTTTTGCATTGTTCACTGTGTTGGTTAGTTATATTTTGGTGGACTCCAATATTTTGTGAGATGAAAGCCCTTTTTGCCATTACTCCAAACCTTAGCTCCACATTATGAACTATATCAAGCTAGTATTGTTTCTAGACCACTCTGTGCTTATACTGGTGAGAACAGTCAAAACTCCATTGGTCCTAAATGGGTGTTAAAGAATTCAGTTCAGTGTATTCTCATATTTAGTTTGTATGAAATCGCACGAAAAGTTATGCACCGTAATTTCGTACGTTTTAGACGATTTTTTCGTCGCATTTCGTCGTATTTTTACGTCTTGCCTCGAGACAAGATATCCTTTGGCATGCGCATCTTACGTACCATTAAATAACATAGAATTTAACATACAATTAACCCTAACCCTGACCCTAACCATAAGATGCAAAACAGCAAGCAACCTAGTTAGAGACCTGAAGAAGTAATTATTGCACTGTTTTTCCCAGTTTTACGTCCGTCCGCGGATCTGCTTTTTTCGTCTGTCTGGCTGCTCATGCGCACTGATCTGTATTTTCGAGGAAAAACGTCCAAAACGTATGAAATACTGTGCATAACTTTTCGTACGATTCCATATGAACTGATAATGAGAACATGTTGATCAGTTTAAATTCAAGGTTACACATAGGACACATATATTTATTTTATTTTATTTTAGACAAATACATTTTTGCCTCAATCCTAAAATTTTTTCTTCTCATTTCCCTTCACAAAAAGTCACGTTTAATAAGATATTTTGCAGCCATAACAGTTTTGAATCTTCTTAGTAAGTTCTTGACAAGGTTTAGAGGTGTGTTTAACTTTAACCATTCTTCTAGTGGTGCATTTTCACCTCAGACATTGAAGTTGGAAGAGATGAAGTGGCTCACAATATTTGCTGTAATTCACCCCAAAGGTAATTTCTTTAACTGAGGCCAGGGCCATGTGCAGCAGTCATTGTTATTCCTTCAAATCATCCATGTCGCTTTTGGCCTTGTGCATTGGTGTGCAGGGGTGTTGAAAATTCCAAATTCTTCCTAAAAAGCTGGGAGCATGAAAAATAGACAATCTTTGGAAATGCAGATAGATGATAGAGCTTGAATACTGCTTGCAGATATGGGACTACAGCCTTCCAAAAATGAACTACATAAAAACCCCACAATAAAAACCAAAACCTATGTGGGTGTGTACATTTGCATGTGTCACAAACAGTACTTGTAAAGCATAATGTATTTTTGTTCAAATTTATTGGGTGGTTTAAGCTTATACATCTTGGTACACAAAGGTTGTGGGATTCCTTATATCTCCTAAGCACCATTTTGGAACGTCAGGAAGCCCCTATGCTAAATGAGCTATGAAAGGAAGCATCCTGGCTCTTTTCTTATCTGGACAGCATTTATCCTTAGCTAAAGAGTTTTTAAAACCAAAGTCCTCCATTGCCGTACTGATTAAGCCGAACATACACTGAATTATTT